TAGGTGACTACAAATAAGGTAAGATTTATTTATTTACAAGCATGGAATCTACGGAGCCAGCAGCTAAAAAACCAAGAAGTAAAAAATTTACAATCAATTTCAAAAAATTTTGAAATATTTTAAATGTAGGGGGGTAACGGTGCCTTGTTTAACTTGTATGAGACACTACTGACGCCGTATTGCCGCACATGCGCATACAACCGGTCCCTAATCGGAACACTGGTCACTGTGATTTCGTGTAATCTCGCATAACCACCTTTGTTTTTCTGATGTAGTCGTCGACGTGAATATTTATTATTCAGTGTATTTAAAACTTAACTGAAAATAACTTTTTTTTTATATAAAATTTGAGAGAAAACAAATAAAGTATAGAATAAGATGATACATATTAAAAAATTTGAATTATCTAATCTGTAAAGAAAGTTTATGTAAAGCCAATCAAGTAAACGTATTTTGACACATCATTATTGTTATTTATCAGATTTTAGTTGAATGTTTTATTTATTATAAATTATTAGAGGTTTAATTTGTGCTAAGAATTGTATAATGTTTTAATATTACCAATGGAAACTAAAGTGACTAGTAAAACCAGCAGTCTGAAAGCTCTTCTGTTAAGAGCATGGCGAGAACGCTGGACTGACTTGCAATGGGGTATTAATATTAAAACGGTAAGTATCTCAATTTCAGGTTAAAGATATAATTTTTATTATTTTCTATAAAAAAAACTTTAGATTCTTCCAAGGGGGGTAAGTGGTGATGTGTACAACTTAGCGGACTGTATATTGCAACAAGCATTAGTGGGACCAGGACCTAATCAATTAGTATTGTCTTATCTAAAGCACTCGTTAAGTTCTCAGGTTTGTTTTTATTGTATATTCCAAAATATCTTTATATCAAAATACTTATGTATCAACATAATTTTTACACGAATAATTCACGTCTAAAATAATCTTGTAGTTGGTGTCTTATGCAGCAGTATTACAGCGAATAAGTAAATATGATGCTTTTCACAAGCCTCACTGCATTGTGAGCTTACTGGAATTCTTAGAATCTATACAAGTTGGCATCACGTGTCGTGGTAAACCCGAAGAGGATCTTTTAGCAGCAGCAGTTTTATCCATTGTTCATTGGCTCTTGCAATGTTATTTGCATACATTAACAAAGAGCAATTCTCTTAATCCATATTCAAGTGAACTTATAGATAAACCATCTAGTATTTTGCAACAGATGCTAAGTTCTGATTTTCTCTGTGCAATGATGTATTTAGCTAAATATGATGACAATGGTACTTGATGTGTGATGACATTCTACATTTAAGATGATTCTTAAAGAAATTAAACTTATTTTAACATTTTTGTTTATACATTTTTACAGAACTTTATAAAGAAGTTGTGAAGAAATGCCATGAAATAGAGGCATTACAAAAGACAAGCACTCAGAAGTCTGTGGTACCGATAGAGGATTCTCTGATGAAGCTATGTAATCTGGAGATTGAGAATCTCTGTCCCGAGAAGCTCAAAATGGAATCCATTACTCATTGTCTGCAACCACTCTTTGCCGTTCAGGTGTTATTGAATCCCAGCACTGAAACAGCTGTATTCGTCAATCAACTGTTGATGGTACAGAGATTGAAGAGCTACACGAACGCGCGGCTGTATTGCGAGATAATTCGTGCCTGTTTGATGTGTCTGAACAATGTAACGGGAACAGGCAAAGAGTCGCAGTGGGGAGCTTTCACGTTTTTAAAAGTGCCTGTCATATTAAAAGAGTTACATACGGCCAGTTTAAGTGGTCGGTAAAATTTTGAAATTCTCTATAAACATGGCTTCAGTGATGCGATATTTTCGACGGGACTCCATGGCTCTACACAGCCGTGGAGCCCCGTCGGAAATATCGCATCACTGCGTGGCTTCGTATTTTTACCTTTTACGCTGTTGCAGGCGATGAGAAGTCTGAGTACTCCCAAGACATTTTAGACGCATTTGAACTGCTGCTTCAGTCCACACCCCTGCTCGATATAATGGACACCACGTGCTCCTGCAATTGTGTGGAATGCTTGCTGAATGAATTGCAGAAGGTAAACCTAGTGACAGAAAAGCAAGCGAAGGAAATAAGCAGCAGGAGGTATACATACGTAAAATAGATTATTATAGGTGGAATTTCACTCGATCAATCGCTAGAATGAATTTCTAATTATCGCGTGATCATTGCAGAGAGGGAGTGACAGCGGCCCTGCAAAAGTTAGAGCAGTCCAACACCTCATCGCCGCTTCCGAAGGTGATTATACGCGCGGAACCGACGCTAACCGGCATCTTGAAGACACTAAATGCCGATTATACGAAGATCCAAGAGAGCTTATTGGGCATGTTGTACCAAGTGCTGATGGGGAAGAGCTTCGAGCTAATGCTGGCTGTGGCAACCGTGGAGGGGAAGCTGAAAACATTCGTCACTAAACTCATCAAATTTAACGAATGTATCAAACAGATTAACGAGCCTGTGCCCGGTAAAACGGCCGCGACGAGAGCGATGCTATTTGAAGTGTCATTTCTGATGTTGTGCTCTATAGTACAAACATACGGCTCCGACGTAAGTTCGACGTTTGATCCGCATTTCATATGCAGAGTAATTTCGCACGGAAAAAAATCAATTTGACTTTCAGGTTGTCTTGGAAGAAGGCGGGGACTCGTTTTTTGAGCAGTGGGTGCGCGAGTGCATGCCGGAACGGAACAAGCCGAAGTCGCCGCAGCGGATGCTGCAGAGCGTTGAGCCGGCGAGGGTGGACGCTCTGCTGGCGCAGATTAATTCGCCGGATCCAGACTTTAAATCGAGCAATCTCAAGTGGCATGTTACATGCCAGTCGGCGATGGGAGCGGTGAAGGAACTGCTCTGTGCGTGGGAAAGCGGCGTACTCGGCGCCGGCGACGTCAAGAGAGCACTGGACGGTTTGCGCGCGGCTGCGTGTTGTCTGCCAGTATGCGCCGCTGCATGGCTGTGCGCGTATATGAGCATTACGCATCAGGATGCTCTGCTGAAGCCTATGAATATGGTTCAACATTTCCTGACACCGCTGCCCGGTGACGACAAGCAGGACAAGAAGCTTAAAGAAAGGTTTGTGTAACAACATAAAGTATATATATAGTTTTATACTTTTCCTTAAATAGAAATCTTGCCTGATTATACATTTATTCTTCGATCTTACTTAAGATTTAAGTTTTTTTACTCTTTTCAGGTCCAGTTTAATGTTTCAAATTATTCGGAAGATGCAATACGACGTGCATCCTCCTACACAGTCGAAAACAAAAGTGCTCTCGATGTCGCACAGGTATTCCCCCGAAATTATACGAAAATGAATTTTTATTATCGTTCTTGGTATTGTCATTTTCATTTTCACACTTGCAGTATTATATCGAGACAGCCGATACTGGAACAATTGGAATCCGTTTGGCAAAATGTAAATCAACGCGGGTGGATAACCATACAAGCGACGCAGTCGCTGGAGTCCTTGTTAAATACCGGCGGTCCCTCGTGGTTCGTCACGAATATAGTCAAGGAAGTGCTGAAGTATCGCTACCAAGAAGAACTGGATCAAGCAGTCGATCTGGCTTTCGCCATCTTCCACCTTGACATTGAGAACTGCACTCTGAATCTTATAAATTACATAATACCGCTGTACTTGCATAACACATTGCAGTAAGCTTTTCATACCGCATCTCAAACTTTCCAATAGATCTTTTATCCTAGCGTATAAGATTCATTGATGTAAATTTTGCAGGAGTGACGAACTCGTAGAACCACAGTCATCCATCCTGGCGAAATTGTGCGTGTACTGCATATTCTCCACTCTGGAGTACAACAATTCGAATCCGTATCGGGGAAACAGTCGGAAACGTGCGCGATGCGACTTGGATGCAGATGAACTGGACGCGCTCGGCGTGTCCAATAAGCTCTTGCGACTGAACGAAACGGGCGAGAGCGTTTCCATGTTTGGTTCGCAGAGTCCGCAGGCGCAGGGTTCGAATAACGGGCAGAAGTCGGTCATCCTGAGGGATCCGCTTATGACGGCGCTGAACAATTTGTTCACTCTATTCTCTTTCCTAGCTGGCCGGGACGGCGAGGTGTCTCAGCAAACACACTTTATACTTCAATTTCTGCGACTCATGGTGCAGTGCGAGAAAGACAGGACTCGTATTGTGCTGCAAGGAATGCCGAAAACACTAGTATGTTATATCACGGTAGTTTTATTCTCTTGTATGTTACAAAATCAATTTCCTACAAAAAAAATTAAAATTTTTTGCTCAAATTTACATTATTGGAATGATCATTATAAGAAATTATATTGCAACAAACTTATATGTTTATTTTCAGGTACCTTGTCTTCTGAAAGCATTGCCCGAATTGTTCACGACTGATATCCTACTAAGATTATATGATATACAAACTGTGACAGGGCGCAAAGTGACTGCGCGTGACTTGTGCATGCTGCGAAACATCAATCTGAAACCTACGAAATAAAAGCACAATCCTAAAATGGAATCAATCTTTTGATAAATGCGATCTACTAATAACTAACTAATGAATTTATTATATATATATATATATATATATATATGTAGTAATTTATATAAGTTATAAATATGTATGTATGTAGTATAATTCTTATAAATTAAATAAATTTTTCACAATATATATATACTGTTATATTGGCCAAAATGAAGTATATTGTGTGATCTTAAATCATTTGAAAACAGTGCAGTAATGTGATATGTGCACGTTAAAGAATTATTGAAATTTTAAGTTATATTTTTTAAATAAAAAATTTTTATATGTAAGCATTTAAAAGAGGAGTCCACGTCATTTTGCCTATAAATTCTAATCTTATATATTTTTTGGAATATAAATGCGTTTGAAAGTATTGAACACATTTTTTTTTAAGAGAATCTTCATTATATTTAATTATATATATTTCAGAAGTTTCCAGATCACTTATAATAAATAAGAACTATATGCATCAGGTGACCTCTCCGCCTCTTAACAAGGACTATTCTTTATCCTTCTACAAATTTCTTAAACTCTAATTTAACACGACAATACATTAAGAGGGAGATTAAAGTGGACCGATATATTACACTAAAATACTATGCATTGACAGGTAAATCGTGATTTTAGAGAACACGAATTGATAAACATTGTAATAAATGGTACATGGTAAGAGGCGGTCGTCAAAGTGTATAAAATTCGCAGTTTACAATTCTGTCTTATGCTGTACACACATACACATTCCATTCTAATATTATGTATAATATATATATCTTTCCTGTCTAATTTATGTTAGCCTTCCTTTTCTTAACATTTGTCCTTTTCTATTTCTAATTATACGAGGGTTAAAATACAACGCATCCAACGGGCGAGAAGATCAGTTAAACAAAGTAATAACAGTCTTAATTCCTTTCTCGTTCGTTGGAAACACGAATGGTTAGGTGTGTTCAATCTTTATAGCCACGGGTGCCACGAGGGATCCATTCTGCAGAGATTGTCAGGACTATTGGCAGCGGTGACCAAGGTGTTGACTTTACTGTCAATGCCGTCGAAATTCGCCAGAGAATTCAGCCTTGTGATGATCGCGGTGACCGCACGAGTTACCATCGTTATCAGATGCTCGCCCTTCAGATCGGCCGGCGCTTGCGACGTGCCCTCGGCGTCCTCTTGCCGTTTATGGTTCGAAATCACTTCGTCTCGCAGAATCGCTCGGAGTATTGCGTGCAGCTGGAACGAGGGCTGAACCAAGCAACGCGCTGTAGCGATCGCGCTGGCGGTCAGCGGTCCGCTAACTCCTGTAAACAATTAATTTGACAAAATGCATCATGAGAGAACCTTGCGATTGTCCGGATTTTCATCTAAATAATGAGTTTACAGGAAAAAGATCTCGCACAGACACATACGTCTATATGATTTCCAAAATATAATAGAAGAAAGAATACTTGGATTTTTTTTTCATAAATTTGTACGAGAAATGGATTAATGACTAACCTGTAGCTGTGATAAATTCGAAAATATTGGGCGTCAGACGGAAAGGTACCGGTCTGTTTGCATCTAATTCGCAAGAAGTATCGTCCATATCAAATCTGAAATACGCGATGTTGATTAGTCCCGAATCCTGGTACAAGTACATCATATCAGGACTGAGCCGTGTTAGATGAAGTACGTATTCGGCGAAACAGTTCAAAGACAACTGCAGCGTAAACTGAGAACAGAAAAAAAATCGATGTAAAGTCAGTTAAAAATGGATTAATTTACGATACGTGTTTTTGTTATTTCAAAAAAGAACTGTATCTGAAAATACTCACCATTTTTCTAAATGTCCAATAATCCGTGGCACCGGGGAATGTCTTTATCGCCCAATCCTTGAGCATAGTTTTGAGGACCATTGTATTTTGCACCTCTTTAAGATTATCTCGCAGCACTTGATGGCTGACTTGCGCCCCTTTTGTTTGTATACTACCTAGTTTATCGTAATATTTGGCGATAGGCGCGTCGTGTTCCATTCCTAGCTTAGCGCAGCCCTGCTTGTAAATGTCCAAGAGGGAAATCGCCGCCGGATTGTCCTCTACGAGTCTCATATGCGGCGAAACCGCAACCAGTCGCGGCACTGTAAAGTGTAAGAATCGGCGCGATGTTTCTTTCTGCTTCGCTAAATAATGATTCAGCATTCGTAATAATTGCAGCAGGCGCTCCTCGCGCCTGGCATCAACCACTCCAGTATCGTTAACTACTAGATAAGGATATAGGCGACCATTGTGGCCGCGAATACGTAGTCTTCGAGCGGCGGTGTTGTGTCGTTGAACAATTTCAACGCGCGGCATGAATCTCGCTATCTTTACGGAATAATGAGAGTGCTGAAAGAAACAAGTTTTAAGATTAACAAATTAAATGTCCTCTTTCGTCTTATATGTATCATTTCAATAAAAATAAAAAAAGACAAAAACACACACACATTTAAATTTCTCCCTGAGTTACATACCCTGGGTATTAGGAATTCACCAGGTAATTCAATTTCCGCTGTTTTCAAACTAAAATTACTCAAGAAACGACACTTTTCCTCAATTAAGAAAGACCTGTAGAACAAGTGTACATTTGTAATTCGTGAATTGCTTTCTGAACAAATCGTGTATTACAATTGAAAAGTAAATATTACTTTGGTAACTGCTTCGTTTTTTCTTCCAGAATTTTTATCCATTTTTGTAACCTACTAATCACGTTGTGCAGTAGTTTGGCTCCAGGCGCAGAAAAGTCAAAGTCGCTAGTGAATTGACCCTTCATCTTGTGAAAAACAGGATCTTGCACAGTGGCTTGCGCTCTACGCGCCAAAGATTCCGACGCAGCAGAAACACTTGAGTTGTTTATGTTTTGCGAGGACGATATATTTTCTGAAATCGCATAATATATTTCAGGCAATCGTCCCTTTTTTTTCTATTTGTAATAAATAAGAGAGCGAATAAATATACCGATCCCAAGACCAAACGTTGAAACGAGTTTCTTCACAAAGTTTAATGTATGTTGCGTAATGATAGCGTCATTAACAGCACCTCGGTTCTCGAATGCTATTGCATAGCATTTTGCTAGTCCTTGCTTTAATTGTCGCAGAACCTCCTCATACCACGTTTCGCGGAACCACACCATCTAAAATATAAATTTTAATATTAATTTTTATACAGAATTTTTATACAAAAATAAGATATTAGAATATTAAGTATGAATAAGAATACATTTGTAAATCTGAATTTTATATCTAAGAAAATATTTAAAATTGAAGATTGAATATATATATATATAGTTGGGACAAAACTAAAATTTGTTAAGATATAGATGTTCTTATAATTCTGTGACAAACTTTGAGCGAGTTCTCAAAATAACAGAAGAAAATTAATATAAATTATATAATATAAAAATTGATTTAAAACAATAAAAATTTCTATTAATACACATCAATATTAATATCTAAAATCCAAATATTAAATTAATAAAAAACAATATATTTTTTTATAGATGTACATTACTATATTTTTTTTACTGCAATTATTACGCAATGTGTTGAACATATAAATAAAAATATTTAATCTAACCTGATCGACTATACCCTCCAAACTGGACAAAATAGTCGGGTGAATGTCTCTTTGCAAATGCATAATTTTTGAACATCTCCACATCGGTGGGGTAGCTCGTACTGTATGGCCAGTTTCCGGTACTCCTTGCGGCAACACATTGCTCGTTGAGCTAGTACGATCATCCATATTCTCTTGGTTCTTGCCTGCAGCCAGCTCGCTACTTTTATAACGTTCTCTTTGTTCTATTTTCAAAGTTAGATAGAGAGTACGAATTGAAAAGTAGACAGCTTGTGGAAACACACGGCCGACTTGAGTCAGTAAGTTCATGATCGCATTGCTTTCGTGACGTACCAAGTACACGAGCAACTGTGGTACCCAGGGTAACCATTGAATCGGCGGTACACCTACGGCATATTTGTCTAGCGTTTCCATGAGGGATTTATCATCCGCGTACGTGAGTAGCCAAAGAATTTTCGCGATATACTTTCTAGATTTGGATTCATTTTGATGACGACAAGCATGAAGGAAACATACGAGAGCGTTTATACCGATGTTTATTTGGCGCGCATCACGTATGAATATACTTTCCAAATAGTCGCCCCACAATGCCCAAGCTTTCACGAGAGTATCGTGCAACTGAGCCGCAGCAGAGAAACTCTTGTTGGCTTCGTCCGAGCAACCCAGCTGCGATTGAAGTAGGCCTTTCAACGCAAAAAATTCCGCATTCATTTCTTTTGTGAAGTAACGCATATTTGTAGATTCAAGCATCTCCAGACCTTCCTGCAGCTCAGTTTGTCCACCCATTGCGGCCATTTGTAAGTAACACTTTATTTGTTGCCGAATCTTTTGGAAGCAATCCACCATCGGAACGTTCGACGGAATATAAATCTTAGCAAGCGACTCGAGACATACGCCGCAAAGATTCTGCTTTCTTGCAATTTTACCAAAATGAATAATCGCTTGCATGGAAGCGTGCACGCCGAGCAGTGAGTGATTGGCCGTTTGATCTTGTTCAGAATCATAATGGTTCGATATGAAGTTGTAATGATGTTGTCGCCACGTGAAAATGTCTGACCAATGGCTGAGGTCGTCTGCTATCACAGGTAATCGATTCCGCCAAGTCTTTACTATTGCTTTCATGTCATGTAGCGAAGTGCTTCTGCCGTGTAGCAGACCTTGATGTATCTGCAGCGCTTCTTGAAGCTCCATTATTTGTTGGGCTGCTTGAAGCAATGGTAAATGCACGTGACTAACGATGTGTGGAAGTCGACGCCATTCGCGCATACACAGACCGGATGCGAGTTCGACGTAGCGGTCCACAGCATTCAGGTGTTGGTCCTCGCTGTTGCACAATGCTAAGAATCCACGATATAAATTGATCTGCAAAAACATACAAACAATTACTCGAAATATTCTATCGATATCTCATTTTTAATTTCAAAAAAAGATATAAGAACTTTGTAAAATATTGTAAACATTTGTAAAATTGTAACTCAACGTTGGTAAATTAGCAAAAAAAAAATATCGATCTTTCTCTCAAAGATTATTATTATGTCGCCATACCTTCCAGGCCATTTCTCGCGGGCAATTGTGTTCCACCTGTGTAAGAGCGTCCTTCATCACTGGCCAATTGGGGATACGCCACGCGCTCTCCAAGACAAGCAAGGGACTCTTGTAGTTTTTATGCTCGCCTAATTCTAATCCCATCTCCCATTGATTCAGTTCCTTCGTTGTGCGCTCCCAGTGACGCTCCCAGAGCAGCATTTCTTTGTTGACGTGATACGGCGCTGGTCCCGATGCGTAGTCCTGACGAAATTTCGACAGGCATACTTCATATGCTCCTTGAGCTTGCTCGAAGAATCCTTGCTGCTCCAGTGCGATCGCGTGTAAAGTTTCCTTGTAATGCGCTGGCCTCTTCTGCCAGAGGCCCGACCACATATCTTCCTCGCACAACATCGAATACATTTCCGAGAGCATATCCATGACTTCATAGTGGCGACCGGGGCCGTCGACTTTTTCCAACTCGTACCACTCGTACCTCTTCTTCACAGTCTGATTGTCGTTCTCGAAGGCCATTTGTTCCAAAAGCAAAGTGGTTCGATGCCAAAAATTGTGTGACTTACCTAGGTATTTCATCACGGGCGGTGCTATCGCAACCGGCGGATTGCAATGCGCCAACGCTTCCAAGAAAGTACCGAGCGCACTTGGATGGCAATCCTTTTGGATAACGTGTGCGCCACTCGCCACGAAAGGTGGCACTTCCGCCATCATCGCGTTGAGATATGATTCCTCCAGAATAGCCCATATTCGCGGGAATATGTCTAACCAGACGCGTTCAGCCAGTTTCGTGTCCATGTGACACAACTGGGCGGTCGCCAGCAGCAGTTGCTCCGTTTTCACCTTCTTCGCCTCCTCCATGAAGCGTCCCTGCTTACTGATCATTTGTGCTAGGCTGGGTTTCTCGGTGATCTCCTCGGCGGTGGTGGCGGCAGTGGTGGTGGCAGCATTCGTCGAATCCAACGTGCCAGACAACCATGTGTCCATTTCGAGGAGCGAATCTTTCACATCTCTTTCTTCCTTTATCTCGAGAATATCTTGTTGCTCTTCACCCGGTTGACCAAGGCTGCAGAAGAGTGTCTGCTCTTCGTTATCCTGCTCTTCCTTTATCATGCCGTGCATGAGAGACGTCACACTAGGCAACAAGAGATCTTGATTTGTCATTTGTATCTGAGTTGTCGGATTGACAGTGGCTAATAGCAACTCGATGCACTGCTTGATCCAGTAATGTTGTCCTATGTTCTCCCAATTCTGGCTCACGACGATGTACAAAATACGATCTTGCAGGCGTCTCTTCATTGAGCCGTCGAACACTTCGAAGAATTTCGCCCGCACTTGCGGCTGGACGCAACGCACGCCAGCCAGGAAAGCTTGTTCCAATTTGTTGGATAATTCTGTCGCCTTTAGCGTCTCGTCGCGGTAAACATAGTTGACTAACTCTAAAAATTGTCTATTCAACTCCAGATCTTCGGGAAAGCGTTTCTCGACATACTGCATCATTTTAACCAACAGAATTGACTTCTCGCGTAAAGTAGGCGCTTGATTGACCGCGATGGTGGACTTGGTCTTCATCCATTCCTCTAGTATTTTCGTGATGGCTTTCATCACCTTCACGTCCTGCGTCTTCTCGATCAGGCCGACCAAAATCGCGCCTATGAACGTTTTGCGCATATCGACGCTCATTACTACTACGCGATTTTTGACCAGATCCAAACTGAGAATAAGCAATTCGCTCGTCACCGGATTGGTTTCGGTTTGGGTCGTGTGCAAGTGTTCTTTAGCCATCCTGTGTAAGACTCTCATAAACGGTGTTATCAGTCGGTCTATATAACTGGTATTGTTCGTACAAGCAGCTTTAAGCATCATTAAGGTGCCAAAAAGTGAGCTAGGGGCAGCTGTGGTAGTTTTCTCGTAAGTGGCCAATCCTTCGGCTATAAATCGACTTACGGTTGCGTACAAAGTATCCAGCTCCTCGTGTTTGGAAGCTATGTTCGCTGGAGTTGCTTCGGCAGGGAAAATTGTCATCAATCTTGACAACAGTCCATGCACCAGACGAATGACTTTCGTATTGCTGCTTGCGATACAGGCGCCTATTCCGCGTTGCAATGGTTTAAAACTAACGAGTATTTGCTCGCGTTTCATCACGCCCAGCAGAAAGGTTAGCACTTCCAACGCCGTGCTGATGTTACCGAAATTAGGTTGAGCACTGTCCACGCTAGCAAGAACCTTATCCAACCAAGCTAATTTCAGATCGCACTGTTCAGCAATCCATACGTCTGGCTTCAAGGCCATTTTCAAGAGTGAAACACATCGTCTAGATAGCTGCTCACCTGGATTACCATGAATTGTTGTCACATCATTCACTTGACATGCAAGACGCAATAAGAAATTTAGAACTGCATCCGCGTGAGTTCTCTCGATGGGTTTCGTCGATCCTGGTTCTATTCGGGGTAGAATAACAGGCACAGGACTATTGCTCGACGATGTTGCTTGAGCGCTCAAGCGCTTTCCGGACGGATCTTCGACACTCGGTCGCTTAATTGAGCCCGACGACTGTGCGGTTGCTCTACTACTGTTGGATTCCGCGGTTTCGGCCTCTTCCTTGATTCTGTACAGTTCCCACTTTACGATGACTTCTGCCAATTCGACGGCCAGTCGTCTGTGCTCGATGGTAGCTGTAGGACTGAATCCCAAACGTTGTATGGAATTCACTATATGCTGAACCAGATGATGCCTGACCGGGTAGTAAACTTTGTAGTGTCTTACGACCAACTGCAATATATGAAACAATTGTTGCATAGAATGACCCTCTTCAACAATTATTTTTTTCGTCCAATGTGTCAACATTGTGTTGCCATCTTCCATTCGAACAGGCATCGCGGGAGTCAGTATTTCCAGTGCTTGTCTCACGACATTACGTGCGTCTACAGCATGCGCTTTCAATAAACTATGAAACACTTGTAAGACTATGCGCTTGTGAATAGCGAATTTGGCGATTATGTGGCTGAGAAGAAGATGTCCATGGTATCTGGTTGTCGGATCAACGCAATTCTTGCCTAGCAAGCAGGGCCAAGCAAAAGTCATCAAGCGACGTAGTTTATTTCCCTGTCTTTTATTAGTGACATCGTGTATATGTTGCGATGCTTGTTCGACAAGCAGGCAAGAAAATTGTAGTAGAGAAATGCGTACACAATCCGCGGAACCAAATGGGTTGTCTGGATCGATGATTTTGCTGATAAATACTGAGACAACGTTCTCTGGATTATCTTGATAAGGCATAGGTGCACCTCCTACTAATTTAGTGCCCTCGCCTCTCTCGAAACTCACAGCGAAACACGGAATGATGATCAACTGTAGAACATTGGCTTTCAACTCCTGTGACATATTGTTCGTGGGAAAATGTTCGACAAAGCGGAAGAAAGCGTTGCGTTTCCATTCGACTGTGTATTGTTGCGCCACTGTGTGCTCCAAAAAATCCCGCAAAAATTGAAAATCAGGCACGAACCGATCGCACATGGCTCGCAATAACTGAAACAGTAGATCGATATCGTTCGGTTGGTGACGGAAATAATGCAGCAGGATCTTGACGATATGCTTCGGTTCTTTCCAGTGAGAGTATTCAACGCCCTCGACCTTCTTGTGCAACGTCTGATAGTCGTCGTTGCACCAGATCTGCTTCAATGCATTCACCAACTGATTCTGCGTGGATAGCCATTGCTCGTCGAATTTGATGAGTATAGCGATGATTCTGATCGCGCGGTATTGTAATTCGCTCTTTTCCGTAGGCGTCAAATTAGAGTTTGTTTGTGAGTGCGCGAGCAACATTGTCACAAGGCGCGCTGTGCTACTATGCAAGATATCTCGGAACGGTTTACCATCCTTGTGCTTAACCAAATATTCCAAATATCTGCTCCACTGCTGATCTTTGATATTGTTGTCGTGCAAAAACAGATTAAGTGTCTCCGCCGGGTATCGTAACAGAAATTTCATCAGGGGCATCCTGAAAGGACTGGAGACCTCGACCAGTAACGATTTTTCAGTTTGTAACACCAATCTGCACAGCACATCGATGAACTTCGGTGCCGCTGCCGGAATCTCGTGAAATATTCCTATGATAATGGTGATTTTTTGCTCGTTCTCGCCGTACTTCACTTGTATACATTTGTGAGACTGAATTAGATTCTCCAGAAGTTTCTTGAGATGTTGCAACAGCTGTTCACAAAGCGTGATGCTAAAGGTACTCGGAAAGAGTTGCGTTAGATATGACAATTTTCTCACGCAATTCAAACTGAGATTCCTGTGGTCGCCCAATGTCAACAACATAGGTCGCATTATCGTATGAACCGATTCCATCTCAATTTGAAAGCCGGCGATGAACATTTTCATGCATTCGAAGGCCGTCTCTTGTAGCTCGGCATTGGACTTCTCAAGTGCTTTATAGAGCGCCGCGAATATCTTTTCACGGCAGCACATAATGTAATGGCAGGCTGCGAGTGCTCGTAGCGCTGATTTCTTCAGTGGCATCAAGTTCGAGATCGATTTGTAACAAGGGAACTTACTGAGAGTAATCTCGTCCGCTTCGCAGAGAATTAATAGCTCTTGAAAAAATGTTTGATGCTCCGTTATGTTTACGTCGATGGTGAAGAGGCGCGGATTCAATGTGGTGCAAAAAGTATTACCGTCGAGCAAGCCGATCTGCGCATTAGCTGGCTGATGCTTCAAAAGGTGCTTCTTCGGCGGGATCATATCCGCTAGAGCGTCTTTATGCGGCTCCATCACTTCTGTCACAGATTTATTCTGTATCTCAGCCAGCTGGCGCAACGAAGCCATAGCTTGTTCTCGCACGATCGTGTGAGGCGATGTGACCTGCTTGACTAATTCGCGAGTGACTTCGTTCAAGCTTTTATTTCGCGCCTCTATCAATTCCGCGTTGCCTTCCTGAATATCAGGATTCACGCAGACGCGTAGCATCTTCTCAAGATTCTCCTTCGCCATATCGATCGCGCCATTAGATACTTCGTCAGTTAGATCCATCATCACAAATATGAGAGCTTTGATGAAAACGAACAAATGATTGAGAACCCACTTGGTGGCCATTCGTTCGAAAAGAAATTTAATCGCTATGCACCCGCCTAATTTCGCGTACCAGGCTCGCTCGTAACACAGCGAATACATTTTCTCCGCTAGATATTCCATAAAAGGTAATTGGCAAGCTCGCTCCTTGGACCCTAAAATGTTCGTCGCCGTTTCTAATATCAGTACCAATGCGAGATATCCCGCTTTGTACAGCTCCCTTTCGTCGTGACCCATTATGACAGCGAGGGCGTCGATCAACACAAGCGGATCTTGTCCCTGTGTGCGAACTTCCCGCTCTGTACCGTGAAAGAGACCGGCTTGTTGTGCTATGGCGATCATCGTGTAGTGCCTCACAACGCAAATAACGGTGTCAAGCACCGCCGGTCTCAATTCCTTGATCTCCGCAGCAACGAACATGCCAGTCAATGCGGTCTGCTGAACGTTCCGCGCCACGGCGTCGGGGCATTTGTAATAAGACTCCTGTGGTGGTTGTTGTAGTATAACAGTCTCTTTGAAACTTGGATGTGTAAATACTCTGTGCCACAGATAAGCAGAATCGTCTAACGATAGAGAAGCTGCCAAGTAGCAATATATGACCTCCCAGCACTGTTTACGATAGAATATGTCCGTTGTATTGCTTTTTAATGCGTTGAACGCGGTCTCGATTACTTTTTCCATTGGGAAATCAATCGGCTGCGATGGTCCCTGGAAGTAAACAACTACGTTGGGTGATGTCGTTTCGCGATCATTGTATTCCAGCTTCTGTGGTTCAATCATCATCTTTCGGTTACCACCGCCAAATTTCCCGAGAACTCTAAATGCAACATGAGCCTGATCGTTAGAGTTGTGTAATGTTCTCCAAAGAGCTTGCATTAGATCAGCGCGCACAGGTTGTATATGTTCGTAGAGGAAATCTGGTTGGAGATTGTCGACACACAATTCGAGAGTGCGGAGGCCCTGGCTTACCAAACAATAACTACCATTTAGAGCGGAGACTAAGGGATCCATTAACATTGGCAAATACGGTAAAAGGGAACTGAGACGAACTGGCACCGTTAAGCACAATTCGACGAAAAGGTCTTTCATGTGTTGTCTGTGTAAACCAGATTGCAATCGATTCAGTCCCTCCAGCATGTTGGGAAGCAAAGGTAAAAATTCTTGATAGAGAAGATCATGAGATCCGCCTCCTATGGATCTGAATAATGCGCGCAACAATAAAAAATAATTAAAAAGGCTCCTTCGCTGACATAGCAAGTTCCATAGCGCGATTCACAATTAGATTTAAATGTGGCCGTAGCATATGCTCGTTCTCGGCAGGGAATAGAGACACGCTACCAAAGACTAATTTGAACAATCGAAGATATAAGTTACTTCTCTCCACATTTGATCCCATATCGTTCATTCTGTCTAACAAATACTCTACTAAGATCGTAGCAAACGTCGGTGATATAGTCGGGCTCGACAGAAATGCACTCCCAATTATTTGTAAAGCACAGTTCTTGAAAATCCTCTCGACCATGTAGTCCACGCACATGGAGAATATTTCCTGAAACGTTTGCGGACTCATCTGAGTGAACACGTTGCCGAAGAGTTCCAGAACTTCCTTCTCTTCTCGCGTTCGTATAGTTTGTGATTGCGCCGGTCTACCTGGTTGCGCGGGAGCGCCCATTATAGCGGGTGGACCGATCATATAGATGTCTAGAGCCGGTAAGGCCCATTTAACGAGCTGTATGTAGATCTGAGTTTCCTTCGGTTGAAGTTGGTTAGATTGTGTCACCTCGCTCGTTCTACTGTTGATACAATTGGACGTTATGGCTTTAGCGCCGTGTACCAAACTCTTCACAAGATTTCTGTAATCCGCCACGTTGTAACTCATTGCTTGCGAGGCCGGGAAACCGAATTTCGATTTTGCCGGTTCTTTCTCTTCGTTCACGTCGATACACGGTTTTGTATCTTCGGCTGCGTTGTCTGCTGGAGCGGGCCGTAATTGTTTCGTTTTACTTCGGAGCACAGGAATATAAATCTTGGCTATAGTTTTAAATTTCAGCACAAAAACCAACAGTATGCGCATCAACAACTCTCGACCTTGGTTGCTATTTTCTGCGTCTGACCTTTGCCTCACAGTATCCACCAGGTTCATTAATAATTTACACGAGACCATTTGAACAGCTGTAGGTAAAGTTTGATCGAGCAGATTTTTACCGTACAAATGTACCGCTCTCGATACATCGCTGAGCGGCAACTGTAATCTAACATGATGAACTAAATCGGCGAGTGTGGAGTACGCTAGTGGTCTGAGCGCTTCGTGGGCTGTCCAACCATGTCCGATGAAAATGTCCTCGTTGAAGAAAATTTCCATGTGCGGGATAAATTGATTACGCAAATCCGTGGCAAGTATATGACGAGACGCGATTACTAATTCCTTTCGTAAATGCGCTACTTCCATGGGACACAAAGTGAACAATCCTAAAATTCCCTTGACTAACATCGCGCTATTTTGAGATATTACATCTTGGTACACTCTTATAACGTATGCAAGAAAAGATAAGGTTTTCACTTGCGCTCCCATAAAATCGACAAAGACTTCCTTGTTGAAACCGGGTGACGCGCGATGTTGCGGGCTCGGTTGTAGCGATATTGTCGTTATCACGATCGGAACGAAATCTGATACATCCTGATGAACGTTTTGTTTGTATATTTGGTTCATCAACACCACAATTATCGGCAATTCTTGAAGTACTTTGAGAGACAACATTGCTTTCGGGATTAAATTGTACTGAAAATAATAAAACATGCTTTAATTTATGCATTTATACAGATTTAACTGTTTACTTTTATGTTCTGCGCTTTGAATAATACGATAAGATTCTGTTTGTCGTTAAATTAGAAAAAGATATGCTTACTGTAATGATAGTGCCATCGGCTGCCTTCTTTTCACTTTGTATTGCTGTAATCGTAAATGTTTCCTTCAGAAGAGCTTCTACGTTAATTTCCGACAAATCTTTTACTCGTAGAGGAGGACGCGGTTCAAATATTTTTGATAAATTCTTTGGCAGTTCGCCATATACCGTCTTGACAAATTGAAGGAAAAATTGTATCTATTAACAAAAAAAGAAAATCTTAAAATTAATATTTTAGATATACGTAGAGAATTATAAAAGTCAATATTACTCACGTCTGGATTAAATGTTGGTTTATACTGCTTATGAAGTTCGATAATGATGCGTAAACATACTAAAACATTCTCTTCATTATCTGTTTCTAGCAATCTGGACATGAGAGTCAGAATAGATCTGACATACGGACGCAAGTAGTCATTGCTAGGCAATCTATGTATCATTTCCAAAATCAGTTTTCTAACTTGTTGAATATTGTATTCTGATATGAAGTGCGGCTCTCCTTCTTGCAGTATCTTCAGAAAAATCTTCATCATGTGATCAAGAAACCCCGGATATTGCGAGGAACACATAATGATCTATACAATCGATATTGAAGTATAAACATCTGATAGTTTAATTAAAAAAAAAAATTGTGCTAAGGTAATAAATGTAACATTGACAAGATCGCACCTCAAAATTTTCTGACAATTCCTGAGCTGCCTTCAGCTTCAGTTCATCCTTCGAACTTGGATCACCCAGCATGGTCACGTATGACCGATATGTATTCATTTGCGTCACTGGATCGGGAGCCATTTTTCTGATTATTATGCTTGATTCTCAGTCAATATTATAAACAGTTCATTAGAGAAAAATCTGTGAAAAAAAAGTCAAACATGCAATACATGCAGAGATGTCCAAGAATATTTAAAATAAAGCTAAAATGCAAATATGGAGTACCGTTTTCAATATTTCTTTGATTTTCAAATATTTAAAATGTAAGTTATAAAGAAAACACATTAATTGAATAATATTAATTAGATAATAAATAGTTCTTCCAATACAGTATATAGTTTATATATATTTGATACAAATGTTAAATTGTGTCTGCAGGAATGTATACATGTCTTAAAATCAATTCCTTTTCTATGCTGCGTAAACAAGCCTTAGCAACCATGCTTAAATACTTGAACTCCTTATCTACGTATAATTGTATTTTAAAAATGACTATATTTTTTGCATAATTTTCTTTAATATAGCAGTACAACATATAATTATATTTAATATTGTATAAACTATGAATCAACAAATAAGAATCTCATGAAATAGAACTCAAACAGATGTATCGTAGAAATTTCATATAGCTCAAGATACTCTATACTTCTATTGTAGATATATAAGACGCTAGTAACGCAATGCCGGTCTCAGTTTACTGGTATTGTTGGCAGTGATAAGATGTGATCTTGATTAATTGAAATTTTCAACTCAAATCCAGTAAATTCAGTGAGCAAGGCGCGTTAAAAAATAAAAAATGGACGAAACAACGATCGACTCGATCTTTTCAGGATCTTTGAAATCCTTACCGCCTGTCAGTTCAAAAATCGTACGAATATTCACAAGTTCGACCTTTACTGGTAAGTTATTACAACGAAAAATATTAGAATAAAATTAATTCAACGTTGAAAATTTGTAAGAAAACGTAAGGCATAGAAAAACGCAAATTGCGATGTAATGATAGCCATTTTTCAGACACAACAATGGAAAGAAATACTTTGATGGCTCAATGTTACCCCAAGCTCAAAGATTACTGTAGAGAAAAACACGGTTTGGAGTTTCAGGTAAGACCTGACACAGAGAGATAATAATGTGGCACATTGCTAGGATGTTCAGCGAACTAATGTATACATAGTAAAACATGAGTTATACAGTAAAATTGATTTTCACGGTGCCAGGCACCGACAACATATACGACATAAGAGATTCAAACTTTTCATGTTAATTCTTGACAAAAATCGAATTAAACTTCTTAATTAAGTACACATCATACAACTGATTACATATATTTGATTGAGCTAAGAAGTCTGTCAGTTTTAATCGTATAAGTTGTTATTATTCTAATCGTTATATTAAATTAATTTTTTACGTTTATATTAACATACATTAAAATGTCATTATATTTGTAATAAAAATGTAAATTTAACTTACATAATAATTAAACTTCTTTCCACAGGTGGTGGACATGAGATGGGGCGTACGTGATGAAGCCACCGATGATCACATGACTACAGAGCTCTGCATGAGAGAAATAGAAAATTGTCAGAGATTGTCCATGGGACCTAATTTTGTTGTAAATAGAACATTTGCTCTTAAGCGGCTAATATTTTATTGCTTAAATTATTTCTTAAACTCTTAAGAAATAATTTTAACAATTAAATCTATATTTCTGAAGACATAAAATAGAAATAAATTTCCATATTACAACTGCAGAATTATAATAATCAACATTGGCGAGTAAAGAGTTGAATCATATTCAAATCTTAACATTGTAGATTTGAAAGAGATTTTTAAGAATTTTTCCGAGCAACAAATATAATAAATATAACAAATACAATAAATACACATCTTGTCACACAGGTATTTCTTGGACAAAAATATGGATACCGTCCTATTCCAACTTATGTCCTTAGCTCGGAGCTGGAGATGTTAAGGACAGAATTGGATAGTCAAGGCATGGAAGTTGGTGTTTTGGATAAGTGGTATAAGAAAGATAGTAACGCCGTGCCGCCTACAAGTATATTACAACCGATCTCGTCCATCCTTAAAAATTTTAATAACAAAGTAATACACTTTCAACTATATTTAATAATCCCATTTGCCCGACAGTGTTTGTTAATAATTTATTATGTAAATAATTTTTTTCCTTCACTTATATTTTTTTATTTATGCATCTTTCAGAGAATACCTAAGCTACAACAAGAAGATCAAGCAATCTGGTGGGACACTATGTGCAAAATGCAGAAATTGTTTAGAAAAGGCGCGCAATCCTTGTTTAATTCCGGGAAATTCGATAAGGATACGATGCATAATTATTTCATGTCCGGTGAATAAGAGATTCAATGTACAAGAAGTGGCGCATGAAAAAAGTAGCTCTGCTTGTGTCAATGTTGACATAAGTTTTATCAATAAAGAAAAATCTTCATTATTGATAAAGATAATTTTCAGCACAATCTTAAAATACAAAACACATTACATTTTGAATGTAATACAAAAAATTTTTTTTATCAATAAGATTCTTATTGAGACTGAAATCAGAATACTTTTTCATGTGCCTTTTCAATGTGTTTAGTAGAATTATAATAACCGCTAATTTCGAAATAGTGACCGAGAGAGAAGTAATCAACGGCGTACTCAACGTTAAAAACACGAAAAACCATTGTCTGGCGTATGTGCGATACATAAATAACATCAATCTTCAAAACTTGAGAAAGGCCAGTCTGTTTATAGATATAGCTAATAGAAGCTTGGACAATGAAGCATCCAAGTTATTGGCTGATCTCAGAGACGAGAGATTACCGAATAAGATTGAGAGTACGAATTTGCAGAGGTATTCTCTTTGTTAGAAGCATACAAGTAATTCTTTTTATGATCAATCATGGAGAACATTACACAGGTACACAGTGGAGTGGGTTGGAAGAGAAGGCTTGGATCCTGAAGCACACGGCGAATACCTTCAGCACTTCATAACTCACTTCTACAGAAATATAGTGAAGCTCGTGGATCGTGCCATGCGAAAGGAAGACAGTTCCGCACAGGGGCAAATAATAACCGAGATTTTGCAACATCTTCATGCTTGTAATAATTCCGTAAAGGTGAAGATTTACCAAAATCAATGATATAACGCGAAATATTACATCAGCGTGAAAAATTTGTCGTTTCTTTTTAGGTACAATAAATTTGGAAATTCAAAGTTTTCTTTTTTGAAGAAATTGGATAATTTGTTTCAGGCAAAAAATTATATTAACAGCATTAGTTCAATTTTTAGTTATAATATGCTTTGAAATACTTTTCTTGTATCTAAACAAGTTTACACCTTACACATTATTATTTCTATAATTTGTTATAATCAGATATCGATTAAATAATGCATTTCAAATTATTAATAAATATATTGTTAATTCTAATCCCGCTCTCTTTGAGTCACTTCGTACATGTATATCGCTTTTGCCGTAGGTATTTTATGGACGCGAGGATACTTTAGAAAGCATAAAAAGTCACATGCTGGGGGACAGTGATAAGCCACTAGTGTTGTACGGAGAAGGCGGATGCGGCAAGACTTCTCTATTGGCGAAAAGTGCGGGTTTGACGAGTACCGTCTGGCTTACCGGTAGAAAACCGATGAGCGTAATTCGATATCTCGGCACTACTCCCGACAGTAGTGCGCTTACGCCCACATTAATCTCAATCTGTCAACAAGTAAATGTCATACACATCGCCCTCCTCTCTCTTTCAAAAGACGAAGCTGAAGTGACTTCGCTTTTCTCAGATTTCCTACAACTATGGACTGTCATTTGAAGAAATCCCTGACGACCTGGTGCCGCTCACGGCTTACTTTAAGTATTTGTTGACATTAGCTACCACCGAACAGCCCATTTTGCTGTTTCTGGACAGCGTCGATCAATTGACAGCTGTGCAGGGTAATAAGCTCTCGTGGTTGCCTACGAGGCTTCCACAAAACTGCAAGGTAGACATGAATACAATTGTTATGTAAGTCAAAAGGTAAAGAGGCATTTGAGGAACTAAACCCTTTGCAAGACCTTTTATTTTTTGTCCTTTTCTCGTCCATAATATCAAACTAATGAAATTTTTAGCCCTTAAATGATCAAGCTATCGTTCTTGAAGGTAGATCAAGTATTCTAAACTTGTATAAAACAACATGTAACATTTGTTGTTTTAATTCCTAGCCACGATTTGATAGATCCTTTAATTTCAATGTTGAGTCTAGTTTTAAACGTAAACGTGTATTTCATGATCAAATATATGTTTCAGATGGTTTTATCGTGCGCGGCAGAGGAATCAAATCCAGTGATTTCAAGAGAATATCACTTATTGCGCAGAATGATAGATACTGAAGAAAATTTCATCGAAGTAACTGCTTTGGGCGAAGATCTGGCTATGGACGTAATAAAGTGAGTTCAATGTTGATAATGTTCCTGAGAAAATTACTCCAAACTAATCAAAGGATACGTCTTTAACTATTTTAATCCTTATTAAAGAAAGATTGATGTTAAACTAACTGAAGAATCAACTTTTTGAATCCTTTTTAAGCATGTTGTATTACTGTGAGAAATCATAATTCTTGCAGAATGTGGATGAAAACAGCTAGAAGGGATCTAAATAATTACCAATGGCGTCTAGTGGCGAATGCTATATCGAAGTGTTCCCTGCCGATCTTCGTGAAGCTCGTGTTTGCCGAGATTTGTAGGTGGCGGAGCTACACAAAACCAGCGGACACACATTTGGCTAGCACAGTGATGGACAGCATAATGATGCTTTTTGAGAGGATCGAGAAGCAACACGGCAAGATTCTGGTCTTCCACGCGCTTGCCTACATCACAGCCGCCAAGTCGGGCTTATCGGAGTCCGAGCTCGAGGATCTGATCTCCTTGGACGATAAAGTCCTAGATGACGTTTATCAGTACCACTTGCCGCCGGTTAGACGCATCCCACCGTTGCTCTGGACTAGAATCAGAAATGATTTGCCTAATTATCTGAGCGAGAGAGAGGCAGACGGTGTAAGCGTTATGAATTGGTATCACAGGCAATTCCGAGACACGGCTAAAGAACGATATTTCAAAAACATGAACATGGCGTTGTACTTTCATTCGATGATCGCAGACTATTATTTGGGAATCTGGGGCGGTGGCAAACCGAAGCCTTTCAAGTACACCGAGATACAGAGACATCGGTAAGCACGGTGAATTCTTATGACGAAACTAAAATCTGCTATATCTTACATAAAAAATATCACACTGCAGTAACCAATTTCAAATTACAGATTCAATTTGACAGACAAGGAAGGCGTAGCGGATAGAAAAGTGCCGGAGCAACCATTGGCGTTTTATTCAAAAGAAGGGACTATCTCAAGATACAACTTACGTAAAGTACGAGAAATATGAATATTTAAAATATAACAAAAATATAATATGCTGAAGACATCTATCCTTTCTTTCATGATTGAAGTTCGGCGAATTGCCGTTTCATCTGATAAGAGCACGACGGTTTAAGGATCTTTTCGAAAACGTTTTATTCAACTACGAATGGCTACACGCAAAGTTAAGCTCTTGCCCTTTGCAAGCTGTGCTTTCTGACTTTGAAGACGCGTGTAATTTTATCGATAATCAAAGTTTAGTGAGGTAAACTAGCAAAGACTTTCTAGACAATACAAACATTTAAAAATGTTATAATTTTTCAAAATCTCTTATAAATAGTAGGTGTCCTATAGATTTTTTAATACTTTGATAGTAATTCAAAGTGTTTTCAGAGAACTCATGTTAGTCGCTGATGCTCTAAGATTAGGTGGCGCAATTCTGGGAAATCATCCGGACATGCTTGCTCCCCAATTGATCGGTCGATTGTTGCCGGAAATCGGCGCAAATGTTAACGTGAGAATGCTGCTCCGAGCATGCGATCAAGACGGCGTCAAGAATTGCGCTTTACTCCCTCTCTATCATTGTCTGCATACACCTGGTGGACCATTGAAAGTAATTTATATAATAATTATTCTTCAAATTTTATACATGCTTTTCCAATTCTGTAATTAAATTATTAAAAAATGTGGTATATAAGATATAATTCAATCATACAAATTAAATGCTGATTTAAGCTTTGGCAGAAATTAATTTTGCATGGGATGCGAATTTCAAGTTTCTCTGAATTGATACTGCCGTTTAGTATTCGTTGGAAGGCCATCAGTTTGCGGTGTTCGGATTTTGCTTAACATCGGATTATCGTTACGTGGTGTCGATATCCAATAAATTCATCACCTGGGATCTGAGTACCAGCGATATGACGAGAGACGTCAATCCCGGCGTGGAAGGTATAATGCAACAATTGGTCTTAAGCCCTGATAACAGATACGCTGCGGCTTTTACAACCAGCTATAAGGTACAACATGACATCAATTCTAAAGAATTATTCAAATAGTTGAGAGAATAAGACATTAGTTGTGAAGAATACGATTGCAAAACGCTTAATTTCGAATAAAAATGTCTAAAGTTAAGAAATTTTTTATACACAATTTTTCGTAGACTGTCGTTTTGAATACTTTAACGGGCGAGTTTGTCATCATCGGCAATCCTTTGCCAAACGAGGATGCAGTTTACGGCGTGCACTTGATGAATCAATACGCTTTTATCTACGGGAAGCTAGGTTGGTGCAGGTTCGACCTGCGAGGAAACTTGCTGGACACTCACAGCAACCCTGAAGATTCTAACAAATGGCCGATTCTTTGTAAGAAATAAATTTATATATATATACTTCTTACATTGCGTTTTCTCACTGTCATGTTACTCTATGCAGACGTGGAGTATACAAATTTGGATAACTACAGAATAGTATTCTGGTCGGGAAGCATCGATGATTCGCGTATGCTCTTGCATACGTACAAGAAGAAAATAACGCTGGATCCAATTCAGTTTCACAGGTAAAACATAAAAGATATAGAACGTTAAACAAACTATACGTTGAATAATTATAATAGCTGAAAATGATTCCAGTGCAATGGTTATGACGAAGGATAAAGGTACTTTGTACGCGTGTACGAACAAGAACGATTACAGAGTCGTGAAGTACACGAGTGACGAGACTTCGCCCTGTTGGGAAAAGATTTCCGATATGCCACTGGCGTACAACGACGACGTCGAATATCTGTTACAGTTGAAGCTGGACAGGGAAGAAGAAATGCTGTTGGCGACGACTGGAAACGGCTTTATCGTGTGGTTCTTGGAGAACAAAAGCAACGCGCATGTACTGATGCTGCCGAACGGGGTGAGGAACATTAGTACGCGAATGACGTGCTCGAACTCTGTCATGGTCAGCGGCACCAAGAATTACGCTGTTGCTGGTGTAAGGTGAGCGTCGTATAAGTCTTCCATAAATCTATAAAGAAGAAATATAGAGACAACTTAAATTATATTCTACAGAAAAAATCTATACGTTTGGTCGCTCGAGAATTCTGAATTGGTAAAAATACTGGACGCGCACTTTGCAAGAATCATTCAACTGGAGGCACTGACGATCGGAAACTGGAACAGCGTTGTGACGTCGAGTATCGACAGAAGTGTCAAAGTGTGGAATATCAACAATATTTTCGAGCAGGTTCACGTAATCGACAGACATGAATTGCAGATAGATATGATAAGGTAATATTTTTTTCTATTATCGACAATAAAGAAGAGGAATGCGACCCATTTAAATCGCGTGATTCACCTTGTACGTTACAAAACAGTTTAGCTGAGGAGGGTAACTTAGCCGTTACAGTCACCAGAGATTGCGTAGGTGTTTGGGACTTGCTGACGGGCAAATTAATAGCCAAGCTAGCCGACAGTCCGTTAGGGGCGATTGTCACACATGCTTGCATCACGCAGAATAGCAAGTGAGTTAATTTCACCCGATTCAATCCTGCTAAATCACGAATCCTCTTGCCACTGTGAACAATGCAATCCAATTCGGAAATAGATATTTCATGAAATTACAAATAATCATTTCAGATATATCGTATCAATAGAATCTGGCAACGTTCTTGTGTGGAATAGAATAACGGAACAAGTTTTGTTCAAAGAGGAGCAACCAAATGTTAAACAGTTAACACTGATTGAGAACTCGACGAAGTTTATGGCCGTTTCAAGGCCGAATAACCCTGCGGGAGTGGAAAGTGTGCGAACAACAGCGACTCTTGTTATGAGAACCATTCCTGGTAAAGCAAATTTTTTGATATTTTTATAATATTTTAAAAATCAATAGTATTGGCTCTTTTATTATCCAATAATTTAAAGAATTAGTAGCTACTTAGTAGCTTATTAGAATTAGAAGCTACAAGAGCCAAGCCAGTTGATCTTGCTCCGTTTTTTATTTTACAAACTTATTGTTTACAATAACTCCAGTCATGTCAGGACTGTGAGGCGATGTCGGACAAACCGAAAGAAAATTAAAAATTAGAATACAAGAACACCAATCTGATATTAAAAAAAGATCAGGATCTCCATCGGTGATATCATTTCATAGGCTCGAATACAACCATAAAATTGACTGGGAGAATATAGAAATTAGATAAAGAGTCGTCATATAGTAAAAGATTAATATCTGAGATGATACATATTAAGCCCTGCAAAGCGCAGATTTTTTACCCAATACGTATCTGCCAATATTAGAGATGTTTTCCACTTAATACAATCTATATATTCAAATAATCCTCTTCTTTATTTTTCCTCCCCCCCACAGGTATAAACTCCTACTCCTAATAATTCCTCCTTCCCCACTTGTCTCTCCTTGAACCTTGTTTGTTTTTAAGCACAGTCTATCCAATCCTATTCCAATGACTAGTACAGTGTTATATAAAAAACGACAATTTTAATTACTTTTGCATATTCAAAGAGAGGATGACACACATTTTAACACTCATTTTACAAAAATGATATTATTAACAAGCACTACAGCATTGCATTGAGGTATGTTGGTTTTTAAATGAATGAATCTACTAGTATAATTGCACTAAATCAATGTAACATAATTGATCGTTACAAGATCGATATTTAAGATCTAGACATAGGATTTTATAAGTATCTACTATTATATTGGAAGGAATAGAGAAATATATCAATTTTTAAATCATTTGACTAAGAATTCTAAACAGAAAAGAATAACGTGGATCACCAAAAAACAACGTATGCAACCAATTTCGATAAAAAAAAAACTCGAATTGCGGAATTTACGGAAAATACACAGATGCGATTATAATTAGGCATAATTGATTAAATTATAACTAAAGACACTGAAAATGTGTGTTCCACAACCCGAATGGTCGAAACGTTTGTGGAGTTATTGTAAACAATAAGTTTGTAAAATAAAAAATGGAGCAAAATTAACTGGCTTGGCTCTCTTGTAGCTTCAACTAATTCTTTAAATTATTTTAAAAATATTAATAGACATATTTAATTATTTAGATGGTAAAATGATATTCTCTTTGGAATATCCTGTGAGAAGTAATACTGGTACACCCTTCCGACAAGTTGTGATAACATCAGACGATGCTTTTCTGGCGGTGCCAGCAGCAGATAAAGGCAACAGAGATTGCGTTATAATTTATAGCGCGAAAACAGGAGCATTGATTAGTAAAATACCAATAAAATTGCCTGGATTTAAGGTAACGTCTTAGTCTTTAGTATTAGTAACCAAGAGTCTTGGTTTTAATATTTAAGTTGATTATTCATAGTCAGATCAGAGAGTCAAATTCTGAAACATAATAAATTTAAAATAAGAATATAAACAAAGCAGCATTCTCAAAGTAAGACTATAGTCACTAGAAACATTTGTTAACAGGATATCATATGTATCACTCCTATGCCTAACAAAGCGCAATGGGTAGGAATCATTGGTTCCGATAAAGGCACAATTCTTGACATTAACAAGAAAAAGATTATACGTACGATCCCAAAATGGAGTGGAAACGTTAGCAAGGATGGCAAATATACTCTATATGCTCCTAGCAGGTATGTACATATATAGTAAAACATACTTTTAATTATATTTTATCACCAACTAAATATATGCTTTAGGGGTGGTCTTGAACTCATAGAATTAAAGAAAGGCACAACTGTGAAAACTTATATACCAAAAGTAGCTGAAGGAGTGTTTACTGTTATATCGATGTTTAATCGTACAGATGAGTATGTGCTTTATTATCACAGTGGTCGGAAAACTATTAGAGTCTTCCGGTAAGTATATGCATATTAATCGTAAAAAGTTATTTAAACATTTTATCTAATTCTTATTTGCATTTGTACGTTCAGTATTTAGAAAGCTAAGAAATTGAAATCTATCACAGACTAAAAATCATGTAACACATTTGTGGACAATTTATTTCACAGATCTTCAGATTGTGAAAAGATAGCAAACTACAGAGTACAGGCTGAATTAAGTGCTATCGATAGTACACATGACGGCAGAAGTATTGTTTTGGGAACTGTTGATGGTTGTGTGTCTGTATTGGCAATAGCTGATCCTAAAAAACCTGAGATGACGGAATATCTTGCAAATGTCCCGTCTCGTGATGAAGAGGTGAGAGATAAATATATATTGAAAAGACACTAATATAATAAATTAAGCTTTTTGCACCATTAAATGTTTTAAACACAACATTACTGTATTTATAGGATTGTTACTTTTGACATCTTCAAAGCTTTGAAGTCAACTTCAGAATTTTGAAGTTTCAAAGCTTTGAAGATGTCAAAAGTAACAACACTAATTTATAGCATTCACTTTTGGGTTAGATTCATCATTGCAATATTGTTTTTCACATTTACTTGTAATATTGACTCCACTATATTGCTTTGTTAACTCATTTGTTACAACCAATCAATTTGTTACATAAATTTGTGATATATAAACACAGTTTTAAAACACAAATTATTTGCACTTGCTTTGTTCCAGCGTCACAATTAATGTTATCATAACTTGAAATAATTTAAAAAAAGAGCAAACTGAGTCTTATATTTTCACTTTTTATGTTTTACCACATATTTCAGGTCTATTCAATTTAAGTTATTAATTTTTGTTAAAGCAAGTTATAAGGTTAGTTTGTCTATATGAAATAATTCCTAGCAAATATTTATATACTTTTATAACGACAAATTGTTTTGTTATGGAAATTTTCAAGAAATACCTGTGTTTCGTTGTATACAACTATTCAAATGCTTACCAAAGTACTTAATAACGAGATTCATGTTTACATGCGGTCACAAATAACTTAGGTTAGAATTATTATGATTATTGTGACGCGAAATTTTTCACACGTAAATAACAAATATAACAAAAATAAATATTGAAATATAGATTAAATATTATAGATTGAAGCAAAATACCTGTGCTAAACGTAATTGCTTGTTATGTTTCCATTCTTTGAGAAAATAATCGTCTATTTTTCGTGGAAAGGCGTCGCCGGATTGAGTTTGCAAAGGTCACGATTAAGTTGATAGTTATTGATTCAGACTATCCATTGCGATTCGTTCAATCTGTAAACATTGTAATATTATTACGTTATATTATTCCACTATTTCGATGCTAATCTACCGTTTAAATATATTGGGTTATACACGTGTAGCACGTGTTTCATTCAACTTACCTGTGTTACCGGTGTAAAATTATGTGTTGCCGAATAAACTTCCTCTTCTGTTTCTTTAATATCAGTAGTCCCCGTTCGAACCTTGAACGATGATTTACTTAACAAAATGAAGCATTAACAAATGAAATTAAACTTGACACTGCTGTTACCTTCTCACTACCATGAGACCTTGCTTGCTTTGCTATTGCTTTCGCGCGGAACTATCGTGTGGCAAAACAGTACTCGTACGCAAGACGAAGAACGCATGCGCTGTTATGACCGCGAAATTACGCGACGTATGAAAGATGATAAATTCCCCTATTCTGTAACTTTTAACGATGTCGTTATGTATTATGTAATAACTGTGCAATGATACATAACGACATCGTTAATTTACAGAATAGGCCCCAAAATTAAAATACGAAATATATCTTTCTTGGATTATTTGATTTTGTTTTAAAATCCTCTGTTTTTTAGGTCAAGTTTTCCTTCTTCAGTTTTGTATCGAATTTATTTTTAATATTCCTCTAGCTAATCGATTATAAAAAGATTTTTAAAGATTTCGTGTAAAACATTGATATTTGACAGTCGGGGGCATCGTATCTTATTGCGTTACAGATGCGTTCGTTCCTGAGGCAGAGTATCGCGCGCGTTAACTTAAGACGTAGTGGGGAGCCGGTAGGTGTCAGCTTATGAAAATCGACCGAAATGTGTAGATCCTGTCTAGCACTGACATAGACTATGGGCCATTTTTTCCAACATCGGTTAACGTTAACCGATGTTGAAAAAAATGCCCTATATCTCTTTGGATTCTCGGTTACAAAATAATCTTTCGTATCCGTGTTTCCAATGTTATGTTTATCGGCATGGCTCTTTAAATTCTTACGCTGTATTCCACGTGATAAAATTCTTCTATCTTCTTTTCTTAAAAAATGAGCTGTAACTAAAATATGTATTAATTTTATTTCACCGAATAACAATTATATTGTGATTGAACTATATTTATATTAATTATATATATTTTTTACTTTACTTCATAAGAGATTTATGCGCTAAAGTAAAACAAAATATAAAAAGGAAAGTAAGTTTCGCTTCTACTTCAGCTATTATCAAGTTAACTTTGTTTCAGTGGAAGAAGAAAACCGAGAAACATCGGGCTGCGATAAAATTCAAAGCTGCTGCCCGGATCGCCCGTGTAACTCATGATTTATCAGCGAGCGTTAAATCAACGAGCGATATTTCGGAAACAATCGAGTAAACTTACGAAAATATGGAGTGATCTACACAATAGTCTCCAATCGCTATGCGATGTACTCTGTAGTTTTATTTAGCACTGATTGTAAAAGCAAAAACTTTACAAGTTTGTCATTATTACGACAAATCTCTTATTTTAGCCGATTAATGAATAAAAGAAAGGCGAACGTAGAAGATAAACCACAGGTACAGAATTTATATTACATTTATTTATGTCTTTTCACGTTCTTTTACAATCGCCCTCACTTGTTCTCCTTTTTACTCTCATCTTTCCATTCGAATGGCAAAAGGGCACGGAGACGAATTCGGTGTCTCTGCAAGAACGATGTTACCTCGTGAATGCGAGGTAAGTCTTGTGCAAGCCGAAATCTGGCTTTTCTAAATTACATTCTGCGACTCGGCTTGCGCAAGGGAATAACGATATCGTGCATAGTTGAAGACGTCCCATGCCGCGTGCTGTACACGTGATGGATCATGTTTTTCGAAACTTTCCTATTGGTTTCTGAAAGATTTACCTGTGCTGTCGGGAATAATACAGAATTACTAGTGAATAAAAAAAACATTTTGGAAAACGAGAATGGGATCGTCGCGATCATTCAACCGTGCACGCTCTGGTTTGCGAAAATAGGATAAGAGATACAGTTGTTGACATTGATCACGATTGTTGGCACTCTGTTAAAAAAAAACTCGTCTTCCACGATAAACATATAAATTCTTTTTGCTATAAAATTTTTAGCAAAAGAAAAGTTTGTTTCTCGGAATTAATTGGTCAAATGCACTTGTTTTTGTACGTTCAATCGTTATATTCAACGATTGCAATTATACTTTATTACTGCTAATGAACGAGATGTAAACCTGTTATTATATATGATGCCTGTTTTGTTATTATACATGATACTGTATCACACGACGATATCGCCGAATCACAATAAGGAAAATATTCTATGATTAAAATTAACTTGTGCTTCTTTCAACGAAGCATTCAAAGTGCCAATAACTATATCTCTTATTCTACTTTCGCAACCCGTCTCTGGATTTTGGCGCTATGTGCGAAAGTTCGAACCGTTTCATACGGGCTTAAATAATATCGTGTTATAGACGCGCTGACAAGCGCTTAAAAAGAGAAATCGATCTTAATTCATGCTAAAACACGTTTTCGTCGATGATCGATAAATCGACTATTAAACGTATTTGAATCAAACTACAGCACATCCCGCGTTTAATTTGTACATTGCATACAATTACAGTACCAGCGATGTGTGATGAATACGCGGTTGAATCAGTCGATCTGTTCGCTTTCTCGTAGAGTTTTTAGGCTGGTAACTAATAATTACGAATTACTGGTCTAACTATAAAATGCATTATGATATTTTAAATGATATTTGGATGTGTGAATTTTCTGTTAAATTTGCACTTTATCTTTGTCCTTTTTCCATTCAAATAAACTGGAGTTCGCTCAAAGATGACGATTTTCCGCGATAGGCGTATTTTAATTACTCTGCAGTCGGATTGTTCTGTTCAGCTGTCTTCTTATTTCAGGTCAAAGATTGGAACTTCCTCAAAAGTATTTAGCGATCTCGATGATGTAGTGCCTGTTTGGACTTTTATTGCAGTTCGCCACCTTTTTGTGTTTGTTGTTGTTGTTGTTGCTGTTCCCGCTGTTGTTGTACTTGTGCTGTATCCTTAATATGTTTTTCAACCTGTAGATAATAAAACAATTAGCATTGTTCCTAATCTATTTTACATTCATATATTCCTTAATTTTTCATTTTTCATGCAATGTATTTTTCTGTTTTGCATCAATTTGCAGTAAGAAATTAAAAGAAAAGATTTTGTAGAAAGAAACAATACTTTAAAATAATTAAGCTTTCTTAAACTTTAATTAAAAAATTAACACATCCTTTCTTGCGGTGCTAAATAATTGTCCTGAAATCGTATTTTGTTAGAGACGTTACTAAACAAAAATAGAGCTTGTAAGTAGATAAAAAGAGCATGAATTAATAATATTTGCTCATCGTTTGTTGCATTTTTACATACCACTTTTTTTACATGTCTATATGCTCCAGATTCTGGATTTCCATGAACGTTGTCCACTTTGTATGGTGGTCTAATAGTGACATTATTAAATACAACAATGTTAGCTCCATTCCACGTAATATCTTGAATAGTCTTGGAAATAGCAATAAACAGCTTTTGTCCTTCTGGAGATACTCCGGCCTGCAGAGCCATTACCAGTCTCTTCTTCTCTTCAATCTGATTACGAGTTCTTGTGTTTAGCCTTTGCAAATTAAGGCTCTGTGGAGCTTCATTGCTCGTTGAACTAACTTCTCGTATCACTTGAACGTTTGACACGTAGGATAAATTTACTATGTGTACATCATGTAATGAGGATCTACCACTCGATGATGGACATTCTAAGAAATCATTGTTAAGAAAAATACTTTTTTTTAGACATAGCAGATAAATGTTAATTCTCATAATTAGATTTTAAGAATGAACTCTGTAAATTGCTAATAACTAATTTATAATAAAAAAGCAGTATAAAAAACAAAAAAAAAGTTTAATCCTATAGAGCGTTTTAATAAATAGCACTGCAACCATTAGCTTGCTTTTGCATCCAAATTCCCAAGTTTATTCATAATTGTCACAATAATTTTAAACTATTAATCATGCCTATAGAATGTGTATGATGCGTCTTAAAGAATCATCTTTTTCTTCAAAACTGTAAGAATCTCATTTATATCATAAGATGACATCGGAACATGTTCCACTATTTTGTAAAACATTCAATACCACTGAAATAATTCTTATACCTCTGATAATAAAGAAATATGTACTGTAACTGCTTATATCGCTGAAACTACACTCTATCAGAAACCATTAAGACAACCAGCTCACTCTAACAAAAAAAAAATAAAAAAAATAAAATAAAAAACCACACAAGTGTATGATAAAAATTGTTTGAAACAAATCAAAATTCGTGCAATTGTGGTAAGCACTATGAAAATTGCGGTGGCGGTATATGGATGAACGACAACAAAACGAATGCATCGAAAGCAAGCAGCATGGTTGATGATGGATGACGAAAAGCTAACCTGACTTGCAATTCAAGTCTCGGACGAGATGCAAAGCGTGGATGGTGAGAACGTTGCGGCAAACATGCATGGCGTCGAGATACATTGGAAACATCGTACCGGCATGTGGTGCATGTGAATGCAAGGTCCATTGTGGCCTCGACGCCGTTATTTACACTGCGTCTCTGTACGATGGAGTGCATACCGTGCGCGCGCGCGAATGCCCGTCGTCAACGAACGTCGCGATTTTTTTCAAAAGGATACTTAATATCAACATTTTGGTCTGTGGATCGAATGCCATTACCTCACCTTCGATTTCCTTATCGTGGCATGTTTTACAAACCACCGTGCTACCGATGCTAAACCAGTCGCTGGCACCAGCCATTTTTGACTGCCGACAGAATCGCAATCGCTCCGTACGTCCTCTCGTGGCCGCGCCGTGTGACATTCTGTGATCGCTCCTTCGCACTCTGTTCGTACTCGACGATACGAACTACACGAACCTAGACTGTGATATGAATTCTCTGGATAGGAAAGGTAAGCCGTGCACTAACGCCCTCAGCACGTAGAGGCCGAAGTAAGAAGCAATAGACCAAAGTACGAATAACAAGGACAGGAATGCAAAGTGCAAGCATCGTGTAAAACAAAAGAAAATTATATAATTATAAGTTAAACAATTAATAAGTTGGGAAAAAAATCGTGCTTACGTACTACTTCACGTATTTACTTTTTGTTACGTGTAGAAAGTGTAATTAAACAGATTCAGTTACTGTGAAGTTTGCCGCTCAGACATCTTGAAAACCATAATATTTTGCACTCAGTCGCGAAATACGTTGCAGTAGGCACAGAACCGCGTTCGAATCGTTTCGTGTTTCCTGTAATTGTATTTTGCGTCTAAAAGTGAGTTTCGTATGAAAAGTTACTGTAAATTTTCTTCGTGAAGTGTATGTTCGTCGTAATGCATCAAACATCGCTGTACTTTTATTACGTCCGCGATTTCGATATTGGCGATTTGCTTCGTGTGTACGTGGTTAATCGACATTATCTTCGCATATTCCAAGTTCTCGTCGATATGCAAGGAAAATGCAATTATGGTATCATTATCGAATATGTATATTGTAAAGTATGTATGTATTTTTTAATTATAGTTGCATTGATTATGCTTTTCAATTTCAGTATCGACGATCAATTGTATGCAAGAAGTTGGTCGAAATTCTGTCTGTCTTCGAACATATCTCGAGTTCTTGCTGAAATGCATCAGAAATCTAATTAATTCGTGATGATCGCAAGGTATTTATGTGCCGTCAGATCTAGATTCCTAATAATTTACTACATCATCATTTCTAATACTAAAATATGCCAAATTATGTTTCTACATCAAACAGTAGTTCTGTTTCTTTTAGTTGTATTTTTTATATTTATGTATTTTATTTTTTCTTTCTCCATACATTACTTAATATATAGTTATTCTACATTACATGCAAAAAGTGCAGACCTAAAGTGCTGTTCTAAAAAGAACAGACTTAGAAGTTGCTTAGTAGTTTCAGACCGGCAATATTTTTTTCTGAAGATTTTACAGTTGGTCACGCGCCACTAGTCCCATAACTGTGTTCAAATCGTTCCGTACTTCTCGCGATTATAACAGCATTTCGCGCCTAAAATGTCGGGTGAAAAGTTATCGCGAGTGCTCTTCGTAAAGTGTTGCATATTCTCGTCGCAATGTATCAAATATTGCCGTGCTTTCGGTATTATGTCGCGATTTCGTATCGATATTCTGCTTCGGGCGTGTGGAGTCAATTGACATCTTCGTATATTTCCAATTCTTGTTGGGGTGCGTTGGAAGTGCAGAATACCAAGTATGTACAAACATATTGTTATTCCATAATTAGTTGCATTGATTGTTTTTTCGTAATACAGTCGATATTTTTCGTATTTTTTCATCATTAGGATGAGAAATACTTGGTCTTAATCTTGACTTCCCGCGTTTAATACCTAATCATATTTTAATAATTTCACTACCAATATATACATGATAACATTTCGTAATAATGAATATAATAATAAATTCATTTCAACAGCGATTATCAAAGCATACATGTCAAAATAAATCATGTAACAATATAATAATTACATGTTTGTGCAACTATACGTTTTTAATCTCTTATGTTTTAATAGTGACATTTACAAACGTGTTTGTGATATGCAATATATTGCTTTGATAAAAATTCTATAAATATGTAAATTCTAAAAAAAGCGACAACAAAGCCAGTATACTACATATTTACCAAGTATTCTACATATAAGTTGTTTTCCAGCAAAGGACACAAGTTGACACAAATCGACACAAGTATCACTCTGTCTTTGTTCGATATTCAATGAGCAACAGAGCGAATAATACTTTTGTGTCGCTTGTGTCTCTTGGTGGAAAACTTCCATAAAGACCTCTGATTTAATAAATTCCACTTTCGATAAAAGCAAATTATATTTTTATTTTTATAATAATAATACTAGCACTAAGTGCCTTATTTATTATTATCCTGTATTTTTTATAAGAATAAGGCACTAAGCGTCTTATTTATTATTATCCTGTAATGAACACACCAATTTTCGCGATTATTTTGTCGGCGGTTCTCGGACGCGTTCGTTGTCGCTCGTTGTCGGCTTGGCGGGTAGTTCGTCGGTCGCGTGGCGCGCTCCGTCTCCAGTTTACAATCGGCGCCTGATGAGTCGTGTCACCCGCACAGCCGGGTACATCTCGCGACGCGCGTAAAATTACGGAAGTGCGAGCGCTCACTAGCAATGTTGCATTATCCCTTAAGAGTCTAACAATAAGATACACGCGAGCGGAATGCACACTTCGGATCGTGATTCGTGTTTGAATAAAAATCAGCGAATTATGATAAGTCGATGGATTCATTTCCTTCGTGAGATATGACAGAATCAGAAATACGCAGTATTACGTGCAATTACACTGTGCCGTCGACGAAGATACTTAACTGAAAATGATGGTATGCCTTTTGTTAAATTTATTCTTTCACATAAGCTTTAATTAATGTAAGCTAATTTGTGATTTATTAATTATACATCCCAAAATGTTTCCGCGAAACTTCGTATATAACGATATATTACGATTCTAATGAATAAAACATTTTATGTAAAAAAAACGGTGATTATGATACAGTTTTGTTTACGATATTAAAACGTCAGAACGGTAATATCATCGTCGTACGTTATTTAATATACGCGTAATTATTAACATTTCTCATTATCATGATGTTCATGTCGATAATATAAATTTTTGATAAAGATTTAAAATCCATTTCTCTCTTGAATTTTACATTCGTGGTTTCATACATCTTTAAAATTCATAACTTTTCGGAAAATCTACGGATTTACACACCTTTTATATTCCGTGCATTTTTTAATGCCCTGTATCTTTTATTCTATGGTGAATTTCATGTTGTACCGTGTTATATTTTTTTTATTGTTCTAAATTTTTATATTGTGCATACCTGTTGATTCTTGATTTTACTAAGCTCTACTTTTCTAGTATAAGCAATTGACATTTAATTCCATGAATACAAATTCTGTCGTAATTTGCTGTAATTACTATAATAGGCTTACTTATCACAAGCTGATTAGCTGTACCTATCACAAGCTTTTCTTAACGAAGCTAATGTCTCTGCTCTTAATTGCAAAAGCGGATTAAATCGCATCTCTTTTGCTTTAAAACAATTAATCTTTTGTATAAAAAAAAAGCGTTTTGATTAATTGATCAAGTTTGTTTGATACCACTTGATATTTTTATTACATTAAATTTTTCTTTAATGAGAAAATTTTCACGATTATCTAGTATATTATGTTATAAAACGAACATCCTGTTCTGTCAGCAGCAGATATTCAATAAATACTCTGGATTGACGTAGACAAATGCTGCCAAACGGGTCGTCGTTCGTTCATCTTCTCTGACGTGTTTACTCCTTTATAACTTGGCTCGCGTAAAGTGGCAAATTTTTCTTGTTAAAATGTAGCCGCAAACAGATAGTTAACACGTATCTTTTCGCTTTGTACATTTCGTGTCTATCTCGCATTAGGGCGTAAAGATTAGTCGACTTGAGTTTTATTGTGGGTGAATTGCGAAATTTGAATTCGAGGACACAGTGGCGGAGAATAATGTCGTACGACTAAGATGAAGCAGTGATTTTCTTGTCTGCTTGCCGGCGTGAATAAAATATATGTGAAGATTTTCGAGAGAAAAGTGCGCGAATTGTATATATAAAATATGTACGTTTGTTTGCCTCATTTTTTTTCGTCAACAAATGCTTTTGCTTCACGAGCGTTTGCTTTATCTTTACTTGCATGACTCAATACTGATATGCAAAATGCCATGAAAACAACATTTGTTATATATTCTATAACAATAATAAAATTTTAATCGAGCATATTATCGCAAATCATCATACTAATGAGCGAAAAGAATTTGTGCGTATTTAATGATAAATATTAGTTTTCGATAAATATTAAATTCGTGCTTTAAAGAGCTCGACGCTGCGTTCTAATGAATATCAAGTAGATAAACAATTTGATCAACAATAATTAATAGAACACTCAAAAAAATGATCTTGCAATAATAGCTAAAATTTTCTAGGTGTAAAAAATTAACTAAAACAGATAAATGATTAGCAACTGTTGTGATATTGCATATGTAATTACTTAATCAGTTTAGATGACAGAAACAGAATATATATCTGTATTGTTTGTGAACTTTAAAAAGAAAGTTTCTCTAAAGCGCCTATCTATATAAGATCAATCACGTGTTAGATCATGCAATGAATAACATTTAGCAATGGTACCTAAATTTTTCAGAAGCTATTGCTAGAACATTACTGCTATAAATTCTATATGTGACAAACAATGTTTTCACAGATACGAAAAATAGCGATACATTCTTGTTGCGATATCTAGAAATTTAACTACATCAGCGAAATATTTTTTTGAGTGAAGTAAACCATTTCGAGGAGAATCTCTATAAATATTAAACGTGAGCGGAAAACGGAGCTGTCATTTAATTCTTCTTGCTTTGTTTGAAAATTTGAGAGTGCTTTTGACTCACTTCCTAAACTTGAAAAGCTTCTATCGGGATCATTTCTCATTTCTCGCAGCTTTATTATTGTTCCTTTCGTCTGTTCAGACGACTAGTTCACCTTGCCGGTCACTTAATAAAATAAGGTGCATTGTGATCGTTTAATGAACTCGAAAATTCGACATACCCTCTGCTTTTATTCTATTTCTTTATACTCTTTGCTTCACCTCCAATTTCGTTGATTGTTCGAAGACTTTTTACTTCAATCAAAAATGAAACACGGTGAACAAAAACACAGCGTGGCAGCAGTTTATTTTTAAATTAGCTTAGTGAATTAAATGAAATTGAATTAAGTGGAATAGGAATTAAGTGGATAATAACATTTATTTGAAAGATCGTAAATTATGTCGGAAGAATAAACGAATGTATTCAGCACATTGAGTCTGCCCGTTTTCAGCATCGCGTTTAGCATCGCGCAAAAGAGTTAAGAATAGCCCTAAGCCTTCTTATTCAGTTGTTCTAGCTACAGAATGGCATCATTAGTCGTATTATAGTTATATAAATATGTCCACATTTTATTTCAGTATATTATAATTACAGATAATTACACCTAGTTACAGTTTTTTATTCCGCAATAAAAGTTCCGTATTCTTACATTTTTATATTTGTAAGAAAAAAGGAATTTTATTGCACATAATTTTTATAAAATTGATTTAGAATCTTTTACGCTAGCATTTTTTTATTTTTGCGTAAATCAAACTCCGAAATCATAAAAATTATCCGAAAAAAGAGTATAATATCAGAACGTTTTCATATTAATTTTGTACTTTGCATTTAATTTTTCGAACATTAATGTACGATTTTTAAATTTGTTAAATTCCATGCCATGTGATCTAACATATTTTTAACTTGAAATATGCAACAGCGACATAAAACAAAACGAAAAAAGTGCTTTTCTGCAAATCATCTTGAATATCGATTTTGTTCTGTTCATTTCCTCGTATAACGTTTTCTAAAGCAACAGTTCAGATAGTTACGGGTGCTATTTTCTGAAAAAACATAAAAACTTGCGAAGTAACGACAATGTAGGATCATATTGTGCGCGACTCAAGTACATCGTTACTACAGATAACAAATCATAATAATGTTCGCTCTTACACTCTTGTGCTCAGTTGCTAACTTGGGGTTATAATTCTTTAGAAACTTTGTTATTGCAATTGTACACAAAATTTTTACATATTGTACTTTGAAACATATATCATCTTATACATTCTCTGATATCTTTTTATATTTGCAAAAAAAACTGTTTTTTTATTATAAATTCATAAACATGTGCACTCTTCAATATGTTTTCATCATATTATGATATTCATTGGTTATGTTTTATAGAAGTATCTTTTTAAACTATATCTTTTCTAAGGTTTTTATTATTAAAAATTATAAATTGTATTTATATGCGCGGTTTGTGTTAGAACTTGTATTGTGTCATTATTCTAATAATAAGATTAATGAAAATAGTCCGCGTTAAAACAGTTTAAACAAGTTATATTTAGAATTAAGTGACTTACAAGCCTTCATTATAAATGTAAAATGATTTGAAATGCATTGCGAAATTGTACCAAGATAAATTAGATAAAAACTTTAACGCTTAATTGAGATAAATCAAATACAAGTCAAAATGCAGTTTTTTGTTTGCTAGTTGTATGTCTTTAAAAATATATTCGAACAACAGTATGCACTTATTTAATATTAGAGGAAACCTTGCGCTTCCTTTAATGAGTTTGTTTTGTCTTCAGTTTTGTCTTTAAGATTTAAATTTTTTTTGTGTCAAAAGAAATTCTTGAGCACACACACTGAGCGTTTGACAGAACGCAAGACAGAAGTTCTTTTTAGTATCATATATAATGTAATTCTATTGACAAGCCCCGATTTTTCCATTTTCTGGTTTGTTATGTCTTTCTTTTCTTTCCTTTTCTCCTTTTTTTTTGTTTCACTGGCAAATACGATGAGCGACGTTGAACTCTTTAGCACTGAGCTTGTCAATAGAATTACATTATGTATGATACTAACAATGTACGATAATTATCACAAATTGCGGAAAATATTTTCAAGTAATAAGGAATGGAATATTTTTTCCTCCGGTTGAAAAATTTAGTCCAATCATGTGTCATTACAGGTGTATTAACATGCAAATATTCAATCTTTCTACTTTTAAAGATCAGCTATTCAACTTCATGGAATATAAATTTTCCCGTAAATTTTGAATTCATTTATTCTAGCGCATTCTGACAAACGTGTTGACAGTTGAAATTTTTTGTGAAAGGTTGCCCCGATTTTTTCATTTTCCGGTTCATTATGTTTTTTTTTCTTTCCTTTCCTCCTTTTTTTGTTTCACCGGCAAACACGTGGAGCGAATGGAGCATTGAATGGACTGTTCATGCCAGTCCCATAAATTGGAACGTATCATAGAGTATTGAATGGCACGTGGTATTTTCTCGTTGATATAAATCAGCTCGTAGACGTACATATCGCAGATGCCGGCAAGGCCGGCAGGAAGCGAAATTAGGGCAAATGCGAGATACTCTCTGGTGTGTCGTTCTCAATTTTGAGGCAAGGAACAAGATGGTTTTACCCGGAAATTGATCTTACATTAATATCATCTTACGACACTCTGAGGTTTCATTGAGCGTGTCTCCGTCCTAGCGTGCAGAATTGCCTTAAAATCATATCGAAGGGTTTTCAGAGATAGAACTTTATATGATACATTTCATATATTTTTCAATAGAGCGATTTTAAGTTTGGAAGTATTATTATTAGATTATTGAACATAAAATATTGTATTTATATCAATAATCTTCAGGCAATTTAAAAAATTTGTTTGTGTCTTTCTTTAATTGATTCAGTGGTTGCAGACAGGATTTAAGG